TTGTTTGAAACCCCAATGGTCAAGGCTTCTTACTAGAATTCCGAGAATTTCCTCACGAAGAAGTGTGGTTGCACGAAATCTTTACATTGATCAAAGTTAGACATTAACACCGTTGGATGCTGGCTCAGTGGTCTAGAGGTTAAGCTTTCACTCATGTGAGTGAAGGTACTGGGTTTGATTCCCATGAGTGGGATTCGTGAATGCCCACCGCTGGAGAGTCCCATACCAGGACGAAACGCCGGCCCAGTGCTTTCAAGTTGCTTATAGTGGTCTAACGATAATGGATTCACGATTTCAAAACTATTAGTCATAATCAGCTGTGATCATATCAGAGAATTACTGAAAATTAGTTAGTAACTGAAGTTTACCTAGTGTCCTTCTAGGATTACTGAGGGTCCTAGGCCCGACTAAATAAAGGAAGGTTCGGCATGGAGTGAACAACTTCATCCCGTAGAAAATATAAACGTGGTGAAAAAAATGAACGCTAACCAAAGAGTTGATAATTGAAAACTGTTTTGTTTTAGTTTATATTCTTCGTAGATATGCACTTACACCTGTTACTCGCCAATGCATCGTCGGCTGCTGACCAACATTCTCCAACCTACGTTGTCTTGAGTCTTCTTTTCTAGTTCTACCCAATCGCAATTTATTCTTTTCATGTCTGTCTTCATTTCTTTGCGTAATTTGTATTTTAGTCCTCCTGTTTTCGTTTGGTCTTGAGTATTCCAAGTGAGGGCTTGTCTTATCACGCAGTCAGATGCTTTCCTCAATGTCTGTCTTATCCTCTTGAAATTGGTTTGTTCTATAGCACAGTAGGTTGTTACTGATAGTTTCCGGCCCGCCGATCTGAAATATCTTGTGCAGACAACTGTTTATATATATATATATATATATATATATATATATATATATATATATATATATATATATACGTGTATCATCTGGATGACGACGTCTGTAGTTCGCAAAGTTTCCGCCTCATGCAGTATAACGTTCCTGACATTTGTATTCGAAATTCTGACTTTGGTGTAACACCAACTTATTGAGTGAAAATGGTGTAGAATTCAGTGACTGGAACTAAATTCCTAAGTAAAGTTCGTAGTGGAACACTGAGTCAGAACGACGCATAAATCAGATTAAATTATCTTCATTTTTTTCATGCTTAAAACTAAACACTATAAATGACAGGTTACTACAAATTTTTGACTTGTTTTGAGTAATTATTTTAATAGTTAAGTTTTTCTCTCTCTCCATTATGAATAATATCAGTACACTACACTAAGATGACTGAAAAGGAAAAAGGTTATGAAAATGTAATTTTAAATTTTCACTTACACTATTACCAACAAAATACATCATTACTGAACAAATGAAACTTGACATGTTGCTTCAAAGAGATAACATGTGCTTATTTTTAAATTTTCAAATGGGTAAAGAGTCAAAGTAAAGCAAACCAAGTCTACGATGAATATGTTGTTATCTAGCAAAACATCATAAGCTCTAGGTTTCTGTACTGCTTCATACCGCTACTCATGGCTACAGTCTACAAGGTACTAACACTTCCCACATACAATCACAAATCAACCGGCCGAACTTTCTGAGGCCAACTGACATGAAAATGTCGAATCATACTGTCTGTCATATGATCGATTTGTAATTCGGATTTTCTTTTTTATAAGATTAGACAAGCATGATAGTTTTGTTGTTCTGTCGATGACAAACAATACTTTCTTCAGTGCATAGTTTTGATTAGTATGAAGTCAATATACCGACTTCATCATCAGATCGCTTCAGTTGACACACACATCATATTTCTCAATCTCTTCTTTACATGAAATTAAAATAAATTTACAAATGGACAATAGCTTAAAAGATTCAAACTGGTTAAAGGATATTTTTCGAAAAACTGACAACAATTTCAATGTGACCGATGAAAAATAACATTCAGAAATTTTGAAAAAAATAGTACTTCACTTGTGTCCTTGTGATTCTTTACCAAAAAAAGTACAAAAAATACTACTTAAATACATGGTATGATATAATACTTAAATGTCAAACAATCAAAATTTCATTTGAATCGGTTTATTTCGCACAACAAATTAAGATATGATGTTTTTTTTATATTGGAATAGACCCTAGTTTTTAGGATTTGTTTTTTTTAGAAAAAAAATAGATTTTCTGCAAACAATATTTGCGCATCATTAAAACTTCAACCAAAAAAATATTTACCTGACTGAATGTAATATGTTGAATATGCAATACAGCAGTGTATAACAAAAGTCAAAATTTTTAATACAATACAAATGTCTAGACAGTTCTACTGTATGGGGTGGAAACTTGAAGAACCATGAAAGTCATCATTCACATGATACAAATGTACATTAACAGTTATCTAGGCAAAATACTTCGAATTCGTTAGACAGACAGCATCAGCTTCAACAACCTACTGTGTGATAGAACAAACCAGATTCCAGTGGAGAAAGAAATCACAAAGAAGCGCTGGAAATAAATAGGACATAATATTGAAGAGAGCATTCAACTGCGTCAGAGGTCAAGGTCGCACTTGCAGATTTCAAGGTCACAGAGAGGAAGAGAAACGCCAAGGAACACATCACGTCGATAAGAGGAGCCGCATATGATATGAATGAATAGTAATCGAACAGAAATGTAAAAGAAGGCCTAGTACAGAGTAGGTTCAAGAATGCTGGTCGGTGGCCTATGCTTCATTTGGGGTTAACAGGCGTAAGTAAGTAAGTGAGCAATGTATGAAGAGAAATTACTTAGTAAGTAGAGAAAATGATTTTGGAAACTACTTAGAAACTACTTATATCTACGATTCACAATCAGAAATAAAGAACCAGACTAAGTGATTGAAACAATTACAAGCAGTTACATATAGTAAGTGAGTCCACAGTAGAAATCACTCAGAGGGAACTGAAATCACATATTTAAAAGTAAGTAGGCTTAGTGCCTCTCTCTCTCCACGCGCAATGTCCAGTCACAGTTTCCTCTCACAACTACACATTATTGTCGGTCTATCATGGACGCTGATAAATTTTTTTGCAAGTTCCTATTATTGATTGGATATGTTATTTTATTGATTTAGGCTATATTGGTTTGATGATTTGTTCTATCACGCAGTAGGTTGATGCTGATGCTGTCTGACCAACGAATCCGATGTATTTTGCACAGAGAAGTGAGTATGAATACTTGAATCTTCTGGATGATGGCTTTCGTGATTCTCCAAGTTTCCACTCCATACAGTAGAACTGTCTAGACGTTTGTATTGAAAATTCAGACTTTGATGTTAGTCGATAGTTATTTAGAGTTCCAGATGTTGTTCAATTGTGGAGATGCAGCCCTTGCATCGGATCCAGCTTGTTGGTCTATGATGCTGCCCAGATATGTGAAGGTACTAACGTCCTCCAAGGCATCTACATCAATAAAAATTTCGTTGGCGCATGTAGTGTTGTGGGTGATGGCTTTTGCTGTTTACCAAGTTTCCGTCCGTTAGTTTACATTGAGGAAACTGTATGCCATAGTTGGATTTCTCAGTAGTGAACAATTAACTTATGATTATGAAAGGATCTCAGGAAACTCAGGAAAATAAAATTTTCACAATTAAAAATGCAATAACCTACGTTTTTGCTTACTCTCACCATTTCTCTTTGTCCTGGTCATCGACTGGATTATGAAAATTTCGACATCTGGAGGGAAGCACAGTATCCAATGGACAGCTAGGATGCAGATGGACGATCTGGACTTCGCAGATGACCTGACTCTTCTATCGCACACGCAATAACAAATGCAAGAGAAGACGACCAGTGTAGCAGCAGCCTCTGCAGCAGTAGGTCTCAACATACATAAATGAAAAAGTGAAATTCTCCGATGCAACATAACATGCACCAACCAAATCACTCTTGATGGAGATGCCCTGGAGGACATTAACACTTTTACATTTCTGGCCAGCATCATCGACGAGAAAGGTGGATCCGATGCAGATGTGAGAGGGCGAATTGGCAAAGCAAGGGTTGCATTTCTACAATTGAAAAATATCTGGAACTCCAAACAAATATCAATCAACACCAATATCAGAAATTTCAGTACAAATGTCAAGACAGTTCTACTGTATGGAACGGAAAATTGGATAATCACGAAAGGCATCATCCAGAAGATACAAGTATTTATGAACAGTTGTCTTAGCAAAATACTTCGGATCCATTGGCCAGATACCATCAGCAACAACCTACTATGCTATAGAAAAAGCCAGATTCAAGTTGAGAAGGAAATCAGGAAGAAGTGGTGGAATTGGATAGGACACACACTACGAAAAGCACCTAACTGCGTCACAAGACAAGCCCTCACTTGGAACCCCTTAAGGTACTAGGAAAAGAGGAAGGCCAAGGAACACATTACGCCGAGAAGTAGAGAAAGATATGAGAGGAATGAACAAAAATTGGACAGAACTGCACAGGGAAGCCCAGGACAGAGTTGGTTGGAGAAAACTGGTTGGTGGCCTATGCTCCATTGGGGGTAACAAGCGTAAATTCAATTCAATTCATGTTCTTCTGTCATCTGAGTATATTACTGATGAATAAGCTATCTATATCGATGGCCGAAAAGTCACTCAATTTCGATAACCAAGGTATCGTAGTAAGCTGTTGTTTGGCTAACCAAATCGATAGTATGTACATCACATTTGCATAAATATTTGCCTCTATTAAAAAATCAAAACAGATCTTTTGACTTATAACATAAATATCAATCTACTCGTTAATGTCTCCCATTTTCAATTACCTTATATCTAACTGACTCAGTTTTTTAGTGAATTGACTTTAAAGTCTAAGACGTTCAACTTATACATGGTTAAGTTTGTTTCCCTATCTAGTTAATACTTGATGATACCTTTGGATAAAAAACCGCTACCCACTGTTATTTTCAACTCGATCGAACTCTCAGTTTACTTTATTTTTTCTGTTTGTTTTAATATTCACATGTAGCTGTTTGTGCTGGTAATTGTGGTGAACGTGGTGAATGCATTAAACCGAACACATGTATTTGTTCAGATCGACGTCTACGTTTCAGTTGTAAAGAAGAAGAAGATCTTGATGGTGAGGAATCGGATACAATGCAACTTGATCAAGCTGAAAGTGAGTTCTAGCTATTTGTCTCTTTCTCTCTTTCCATATATATATATATATATATATATATATATATATATATATATATATATGTATATATATATATATATATATATATATACTATCTTCTGGATTCTTCAACACCTCTAGTTTCGACTTTCTAAACTTTCCTCACTGAATCATACTTCTTGAATGATATCTTCTAATCCTAACCTCTCCGATTACTTCTAATTCCCTTACTACCTCTTCTACTATTCGATTTGAATTGACAATTATATCTCTGTGCTGATGATGTATGGCAACATGAACTGATGTACTTACACACGAAGTTCTACGTTGCATCTGACTGACTGGTATACTAAGTAATATGCTTAATGTGTAATAAAGTTATCAATATAAAAGTATCTCTTTGTGAAAAATTAGAACAATACAGCGATCAGTGAATAATATTGCTTTCAATTAGATCGTCATCAGTCAGTCAGTCAGTTACAACGTAGAACTTCGTACGTACGTACGTACATTGCTTCAGGTTGTCATAATGCATTAGCACAGAGACGTGACTGTCAGTTCAAATCCCATAGTGGTAGGCATATTAGAAGTATTGGTGGTATAGGAGAAGAACAGGGTTCGAAGATATGATTCAAGAAGTATAATTCAGTAAGATAAAGGTGATGTAGGGATCCAGAAGATTAGAATTCAAGAGAGTGGATGCACGTGCACCATTCCAAACGATTTTGAGTCATATCGTTCAAGATCCCTAACCATCAGTTACCATTGTCTTGCGGACCACAACCAGGTAGTGTACACCAACCGGCATGATTCAGTCTATTCGTTAGTGACTTCATGGATTTCTGTCATGTTTTCGTTTGGTCGCCCCTAGCTTTCTTCCAACCTACTTCTACATCAAAAAATATAGCTCGTCGAGGCAGTCGGTGGTTGGGCAAATGTAACAATTTTCCCAACCACCTCAACTAATGAAGATTCAATACAATGGAGAGAGTGATCAACCCTGACGGACACCAGTTAAACTAATCAATTCTGATGACTGTGTAAGGTTAATGTACTTCACTGGTATACCTTTCCATGACAGACACTGCCACAGAACCCCACGATCGACAGATTCGAATGGCGCTTTAAGGTCTAGAAATGCTACTGTTGCGAGGGGACTGAACGTGTGTCTTTGTTCTAGGACCTGACGTAGTGTGAATATTTGGTCTATACATCCACGTCCAGGTCGAAAACCAGCTTGGTGTTCACTAGTCTGCTCTCCATGAGCTTTCGTTAAGCGTTGGAGTATTATTGAGGCCAATGTCTTCGATACTATATTAGTTAGAGTGATTCCTCTGTGATTGTCACAAGAAGACTTTTGTCCTTTCTTTTAGATTGGGACAATCCTTACTAGGTAAGGATGGCAGATCAATAGATGAAGTGGTGAAACTTCATCAGTTGAGGTGGTTGGGACATGTGTTGCGTATGCCTAACCACCGACTGCCTCGACGAGCTATATTTTGTGGTGTAGGAGTAGGTTGGAAGAAAGTTAGGGGCGGCCAGACCAAAACATGACACAAATCCATGAAGTCACTGACAAGTGGACTGAGTGATGTTGGTAGATGTAGACTACTTGGTTGGGGTCCGTGAGACGAAAGTCATCAATGGTTAGAGACCTTGAACGACATGGTTCAAAATCGTTTGCAATGGCGCAGGTGCATCCACTCTTTGAGCTCTCTCAAATCCTAATCTTCTGGATTAGCCAGCACCTATACCTTTGTCTTTCTAACCTTATCTCACTGAATTATATTTCTTGAAAAATATCTTCGAACCTTAGTCTTCTTTATTAACATTAATACCTCTACTATCCTTATCACTATGGGATTTGATTTGACATTTGCGTCTCTGTGCTAATGTGGTATGGCAACATGAACTTATGTACATACGTACGAAGTTCTACGTTGCAACTGACTGACTGACTGGGACAATCAGGGATCAGGACAAGTCAGGTGATATTACTCCCAGTTCCTAGTATCTACCTAAGATTTCAGTCAATCGAACTGTTAAAGCTGGACCATCATCCTTAAAACTCTTAAGGGTAAGCCTGTCAAGCCGTGCTGCTCTGCCCCACTTTAGATTCTTGATAGCTTTTTAAACTTCGTAAAGACTCGGAGAACTTATATCTACTTGCCATTCTCGATGACTGGTTGAAGGCCATTTGAAGTGATCCTTAAAGTATTCTGCCCATCGATCCAATCCCGTAAGTTGAGAATGAATGTTGCAACCATCCTTTCCTGAGATAGTTTCCCTAATAGATAGATTGCTAATGCCTATTTCCTTGATTACCTATCGTTATCAGACTTTACTCTAAGATACATGAATATTTATAGTGAAAACTTACTTTTACCTATTATGTGCTGTGACACAATCTATTTCATTGTGATTATTGACTCACAATAAATCGCCTTGATTAGTTTAACATTTTCATTATAAATATTCATGTATATTAGAGAGTATAAAGCCTGATGACGATCTCATTCAAAACAACAATATTGTTCACTTACATGTGTAGTTCTACTTATCAACATATTAAATAATTACTTTTCAACAGAATAAAAGCTAATCGTTAATTTTGTGCTGCTGTCAATCTGCACTCTTCTTACTGTATGTTACATTCAGTGGAGAATTCCAAGATTGTTTAAGCTTCTTAATTACTCTAAAGAAATCTAGACAAGAAAGATGGGTGAAACGGTAGAACTATCCAGAATTTCAATATGATCTTCATAAATAATGTATTACATATATTCGGCGCCCAATTTTTGTCAGTGTGTTCTTTGGTCTTTCTCGTTTCTTTTGACCTTGAGAATTCCAATTTAGGGCTTGTCTTGTCACGCAGTCAGGTGATTTCCTCCATACGTCTCATTCACGAGCATCTCTTAATCCTGATCTTTTTTTCCACCGGAATCTGGTTTATTCTCTCCTACAGTATGTTGTTGCTTAAAGTGTCAGGCCAACGAATCCTCAGTATTTTGTGTAGACAACTACTATTGAAGCATCCACATTATGTCCATTATTCTTTAACTATTTAGTAATCGTTCAAGAATATTATTCAAGAAGTATAATTCAGTGACATAACTTGAAAAAGAGAAAGATAGAGGTGATGAGGAATTCAGAAGATTTGAAGAGTGGATGCACCTGCCCCATTGCAAACGATTTTGAGCCCTGTCGTTCAAGGTCTCTAACCATCCGTTACTTTTGTGTTACGGACCTCAACCAGACAGTCTACACCAACAGACATGACTCAGTCTACTTGTTGGTGACTTCATGGATTTGTACCATGTTTTGATTTGGCTGCCCCTAGCTTTCTTCCAGCTTAATTCTACACCACAAAACATAGTTCGTCAAGGCAGTCGGTGGTTGAGCATACGTAATAAATTTCCCAATTCTGATGACACTGTAAGGTTAATATACTTCTCTGGTACGCGTTTCAATGACAGACACTGCTACAGAACCTCACGATCCACATATTCGGATGGCACCTTATTTCCCCTGTTCAATAAATGTTTATTAATCGTACTTATGAAAACATTTAAACACAACTTATTGAGGAATATAATATTTTCAAAAAGAATGATTTTCTTTCGTGTTCGAGATGGTGGAGAAAACTTGTAGCTCAGGTGGATGATTGTGGTGGTGTTTCGTTCTCTGAGCTGGTTGTTTTGGTTGTGGAGCTTTCATTGTTCTTCTGAACAACATCATCAGCACGAACTTCAGATAGAAGTGAAGCATTAGAATTTCTCCACGTTTGACCTGTAGCTTGTTCTGCTAACCTCGATCTTGATTGGTTGTTGTTGACATTTGACCTGTCGTTGTTTGCAACTATGTTTTGATTGCCTCCCTCTTTTGATCTGTTTCTTGATCTAGTGTCACCTATGATTTTCCTGATTGGTTGATAAATTGGGTCAATGTCGATGTGTTTGTTGATTGCTAATTGACCTGAGTGCCAAGCTTCTAAAAATTCTCTAGTGTTCTTTGTCCTCCCCCTACCTAGTATTTCCACGTTGTTCCAATCAAATGTGTGTCCATAATTGTCGGTGTGTATTGATATAAGCGAAGCGTTGTCGTGGCGTTTGACTGCTAATTGATGTTCACGTAAACGGAGCTGAAGAGGTCGTCCACTTTGTCCTATGTAGTGTTTTTCACAATTTGAGCAATTTATTTTGTAGATGATATTTGGTTTTTCTTCCTTTGTCATTTTGTCCTTTGGTCTACATAGGATTGACTGAAGTGATTCCGTGTTCATCCTACATACTACATACTTCCATAGGTACATGTATAATATTCATAAACTGAAGTGACCTCAACATAGGCATCGATTCATAGTTGATTGATTTGAAGAACACGTTACACAATCCGACTAGTTCGGACTGTAAAGTAGTTGATTTTCAATGTCAATTAAATTGTTTTTATTGATTTTCGCAACTAATGTTCATCATATATGATTTTGTTAAAATATATATCAAGGAATCAAATTGTATAAAAATTAACAACAACTATACAGGCTGATTTGTTTAAAAATATATTTTACACAGTATGTACAAATTGTTACATAGATATTTAACATTTTACATTTACAATAAATTGGCTGAAAAATTTACAAGGTCTGAAAATGTGTACTTTCCTGATATACATGTATATATATTTACATATCCTGTCAAATGATAGACAAACGAGAGATATGATAGTCTTTTTTTTGTCATGTATACTAAGTATCATTTTGATTTCTTGAAAATTGAAATCAAGAATCGATCAATGTTAGAACACTATTAAAAAGAAAGCTAAAAGCACTGTTTGGATGGCCGTTTCGTCCTGGTATGGGCGTCATCAGTGGCAGTGCGCATCCATGACTCCTGCACCCGGCAGGATTCGAACCCAGGACCTTCGGTCTTGCGCGCGAACGCCCAACTTCAGGATCACTGGGTCGGCATCCGATAGTGTTAATTTCTAACTCTTATCTATCT